CAGAAATCAGGTATTTTCAAATGTCATTTCCTCTAACTACATAATGCTGTGTTCAATTTGAGACAACACTGTGCTGTTGAAATTCACCCTGTTATGCAGTCGACATAGTTCACGGTATGAAATGATGCTACAGCCTTAGCTTAAGTTAGCCTATTGCTACAAGCAGGAATAGACATTTTTAACTTGGTTCTGTTCAAAATTAAGACTTGAGCCTCCCCTCATTTTTTTTAGAACTGGGTGATGCAAATTTATTGAAAAAAAGTTTAACATACGCGGAAACACAGTATTTAAGGCAAAACAGTGTGTTTAGGAAAAGAAAATGAAGCTATCACCAGATGCTAACTTTAGATGCTTTGTGGTATTACAAAATCTGACAGTACTTTTCTACATTCATAAAACCATCAGTTTGATAATATCCCCCACTGGGTGAAATAAGCCTCAAACCATAGCAGAGCCTTCACCATGTTTATGCTTTGATTTTCACACTGCAGCCAGTGAGAAATGACTCTTTCCCTCCCTTAAGAAAGGCTTCTCTATTGCCACCCTTCTATAGAGACCTTTACTGATGAGGCTACAGTGAAGGGGCGGATGCATCTCTCAGGTCCTGTGTCACGACTTTGCTAGATTTTTTTTTGTTTCCGAAGAACATGACTTTCACATGTTGTTCATCTCCTTATGTCCAGTTTCCTCATTTTTTTTTAAGGACACAGCATACATGCAATAGCATTTTGAGAATCACCTTCTTGGTGAAAAACCAGAGCTATTTTCTGACTATCAAACTGTGTCATCTTCCTTTTGAAACTCGCTGCTAATGACAAAGTGCCTAATGATACTATTTAAAAGGTTGTCTATGACTTGTATTCATGGCACTAGTTTGTCCTTTGAGTTAGGTGTCTTTCTAATGCTCAAGTGATTCATAGGTCAGTGTTAACAAGCTTACCAAAAAAAACCCCACCAACACTAACAAATAAACCGCCTTGAAAATTGTCAGGCATAAGAACTGGACTGAGAAGCAGCATATCCAGAGAAAATCTAAGAAAGACCTTAAAAACAAACAGGAGAACTGTTGTTAATAAAAATGTCAAGAAAGTCTGGCTCCTTGGAAGCAAGATATGAAAAAATGAAGGCAGGCTCAAGACTTCTGCACAGTACTGCATGTCAGTTTAGATTGCACATACTTTTGAGGGGGCACAGTGACTTTCATTATCTCTGCTTCTGGCAACAAACATTATGCAAGCCAAGCTTACCAGCTGTGCCACCAACTGTACAGATATTTGGAAGCTGTTGATGTTCTCCTTTAACATTGAAACACAGAGCGAAAGACTCTTCCACTAAATGCTCCTACCTAACTACTCCTTTAAAAACATTCAAGTAATACAGACACTGGTGACCTGTTGATTGGACCTTTCTCCTGTGTTTGCGCTGATGTGTTCACGCTGTGGGATCTTGCGGCTACTGGCTCCAGTCCTGGATGAATTCTGTATCTCCAACACTGAAGGACTTGGGGTGCAGAACTCACGGAAACAACGCTTGAAGTTCTCATCCAGGTAGCCATAAAGGATGGGGTTCAGACTACTGCAGGAGACAAAAAAACAGGATCAAAGCTTATAACAAGCACAAAAATCAGCCTAAAGCTAAATTCAACTTTACTATATAATGTGGTTTCCTGATAACATCCTCCTATTATCCCCTCCTACACCATTTTCCTTTTAAATTAATAATTCTAAAAACAATTATCCAGAATTTTGACGAAAAACAAAAACAGTGCATATTTTTCTCTGCTAGGCACCTGTTTGTGTAGCCGAGAGCGATGCAGAAATGCCAGGTGATAGTCTGGAAGGTGGAGTTGGGGATGGTGATCAGAGCTGAGATGATGACAAAGATGTGGATAGGAGTCCAGCAGACAATGAAGACGGCAACCACTACGAGGACCATGCGGGTGATTCGACGCAGATTCCTGTCCTTCTCCTGTGTGTGAAAAAGTTAGGCAGATTAGTGATGGGTATAAGACTGGTGTAGAGATGAAAAAGATGAAAAAGGTGCTGTATTTATTATGTTGCTCTTTTATTGTTTGCTTTCTCTTCTGTTTTTTTTCTCCATACAGGTGATCCAAGTGTTTTGTTTGTTTTTCTTTCTTCCTTCCCCCCTTTTCTCACCGTCTCTTCTCCCCTCTGTTTTTCTTTATCTCCCTCTCTTTCTTTCATTCTTTCTCCCTGTCCTATCCCCCAGTCATGTCTGTCCCGTTTGTAGCAACCAAAAATAAAATAAATACATAATTATAATAAAGGTCAATCAAATGGACCAATATGGCAAGACCATGATGAGCCACTTGGTAAAATAAATCCGCTTGGCATCTTTCTTGGCCTTAGGACAACAATTCTGATGGCTAAAGATCTAAACGGGACAACAAAAATAAAAGAAAAAAGAAAAAAGAAAAGAGACGAAAAAGAGTAAAAACTAGAGAAGGCAGGATGGCAGGGAAAGATAAATAATAACGAAAGAATGACAGAGCAGAGAGGCTAGTGTGTGAAAAGGATGGAGATTAGAGAACGTAATCCTGAAAGGGAGGATGAGAGAGTAAGAGGAGAGAATTAAGAGCTATAGGCAGTAACAAATCCTGTGTACAAGAATGTTTACGCTTCCTTTTATTTCTGCTTTAGGATGTTTTCATTATGCAACAACTCAAATACTTAGTGAAAGGTTACTGTGCATTCCAGTGTGGTGTTACCTTACCATTTATCTCCCCCCTTTGACTAAAAAAAGACAACTAGCTTTGAGGCATTTTGGTCATTAGACTCTTGTGCTGAAAAAATTGTGATTTGCCTTTTGTATGTTTAAATGTTTTTCATTAAATCGTTATTCATTCACAGTAAGCTGATGCTTTTTAAAACATGGCAGCAGAATTTTCATCCTACCCATATTCATGCTAGTGAGCACTAAGAGGTTAATTAAAACTAAGCCACAACCCCAGGCTTAAGTTGATTTTCCCTAATTACTTGGACTTGAGAGCGATGAGAGCACCATATTTGCAAGCATGCTCTGGGCAGGTTGCTATAGTGCCTCATTATTCTGAAAAATAAAATCAATTAGGTTTAAACCCAAGGTTTAATAATGTTAGAAAATGCACAATTTGCATCTAATTAAATCCCCTTGACAAAATGCAAAAAAAAAAAGTAATTATATATGCAATTTTGGGGCTTTTGAAAGAAAATGCATTTTTCCAACCTGGGAGCCTGACAGCATTCGCACACTCTTTAGCCGCAGGATCATGAGGCCATAGCAGACAGTGATGATGAGGACGGGCATGATGAAGGCAAAGATGAACACACAGATCTTGAGCAGGGTGTCCCAGTACCAGGCGGGGTGGGGGAAATTCAGCTTGCAGTCCACTATGCCTGTGTCTGTGCAGGTTGAGAAGACACAGGATAGAGTCATCATAAACATATGCATGTGTATGTATTTAACATAAACTCTATTTTTGCTTACTGCCTATTTTTATTTTTTTTAATCGTCATTGAAAACTATTTTTAAAATTACTGATTAGAAAATGATCTGTGGAAATTACTTTCATAAGAGTCCAAATTTTCCATTCTTTACTTTATGAAAAGGGGCTGGTTATAATCACTTTCAGTTGTAATATTTTATTATTGGACTCTAATGGTTAGATTGCAGTTCAAAATAATACCTATTATAACTTATTATACTAAATAAACCCAGGTTGGGTCTTGGTGCAGCTCCACAGTTAATCGGCTGCCTAAAATATGGTGTTTTACGACCCTCCCCCCTCACATTGAGGTAGCTTTCTTCTGATTGGCTTTCTCTTGTAAACAGAAGCGTTGAACAGAAGGTGTGCTCGCAGACAGAGCGGCATGCTCGAAACGACCATATAAAGAATCTCCACTTTCACTGACATCATACAGAGACAAGAGCATATATATTATATATATATATATATATATATATATATATGTGTGTGTGTGTGTGTGTGTGTGTACACAAAGACAGCAATGTCTCCCTGAAGCTGCTCGAGAAAAACCTTTTCACTGAAAACTGTTATGTCAAGGTAAAGCAATCACATCTTAAAGAACCTTGCCTCCACAGCCCACAGCTTTGCAGTAAATCTCCTTTTACTCTCTCTTCTTAAACAGATTGAAAGAATGCTTGAGTTTCATTTTTATTCAGTTACCGTCTTTACCACTGCATTTGCTCCTGCATTTGCTCCTGGATATGCTTCCTTTTTTCCTTGCAAGCAGCTTTTTGGCTGTGAAGACAGCTGTATTTGACAGCAGCCAGAACTAGTTATTTGTGCAGTTACACAATAAATATTGTAGTTTCTCTTCATTTACATGTGCTGGAGTTGTGTAACTGCTTTTTCAATCAAAAATGAAGAGACTGAACTGAATGAGTTCATTATTGTTTTGTAGTTTTTGTGCCATTGTTGAAATGCTGTTTGTAAAAAGAAAAACTGCATAGGGTGTGTGTACATTTTACCACATAAAATTATTTAATATTTAATTCCAAATTTGGGTAATTCCTAACAACTTGACTAGTTTACTAAACGTATGATGAATTTTGAGGTGTAAAATACAGCGAAAGAAAAAAAATGGCCACATATACTTGCAAGGGTTCATTTTGACTTCCCATTGAAAAACTAACAGCTTTGGCTGGTAGCTTACTTACAAGGGATCATCACAGCGTTTTGGCTTTGGTAGATTTTTATGCTGGGTGCCTTTCCTGACACAACACTCAAGGGGTTTGTGTCTCCTCTCAGGATCAAGCCAGGGATCTTTTGCTTATTAGGGAAATGTGTAAACCACTACAATACACTTATGGAAATTAATGAGATAGCATACTTGACAATAACAGTACACTTGATTGTCTCGCGACACATGTTGTTTACACACTTTTTGATGTGAGGACTTCTGTATCATGAGCCAGAGTGAGCTAACAGGCAAACATATGGGGGACTGGAGTTAGATAAGTGGTGAATAATTATTAGACAGAAGAATTGGGGTAGGGGTAGAGTATTGAGCCAAGGTAGAGTGAGGCAAAGTAGATGTGTGCAGAAGTGGACAAGTTGATAGCTGTGCAGATCAGTGAAGGAACCTTAATTGAACCGAGCAAAGAATCCAGATTGTGGCAAACTGAGCTGAGCAAGTAACTAGAGACAGCAAGGGAGCAGAGAATGTAAATTGGACAGGTTTCAGCAGAGCTGAGGAAGTGAAGGGCTGCAAATAGGATGGAGTTTGAAGGGATGAAGGCTGACTGCAAGTGGAGTAGAAGTGGGTGGTGTGACAAACTTCCACTCTTCTACTTTTAGAATATGAAATTTGCTGCAAAGTGTTCCTTATTTTGTTGTTACTGTGGCCAACTGTGTGGTGAATTTTGGAATTAAGACAAACGCTGGATGAGTACGCGCTGGCCAGCATTCTGTTCTTTATTTTGGCGCACCCAACATCACTTTATTGTCGAAAATTCATTTTTAAATTTGTAATTTAATGTTCTTCTTCTAAAATAAGTAAGTTGTTTAAGTGTGTTGTTTTTTATTGGTGGATTCTAGAGCTTTTTTTCCCCTTTTGCCAGTTCCAAACATGGATAAATGGGAGGTTTGTACCATCAACTTTGCTAAATCAAATATGCAGATTCATCTGCTGTGGCAACCGCTTGGGAAATAAGGGAGCAGCTGAAAATAAAGCTAATTCAATAATCTAAGTAATTTGTAAAACTGAATCTCTACCGTTTATTTTGCCACATCTTATTTATAAACATGGATGAAAACAGACAATTTCTTCAAGAAATTAAATGACCTTTGCTATTTGCACGAGGGAACACAAAAACAGTTTTAGGGTCAAGGAAGCTTTTAGCGGAGCTTTTTCATTTAACTTTAAAGTTGTTCAAAAAGCAGCACATCATCATACCTAAGGGGCAGAACAGGCTGATTGCAAATGAATCCAAAAATGACATAATTGTCTGCAGAGAGAACTAGCTGTTTTAAAATTTACTCACTAGATGCTAGCATTTCTTGGGCTAATGTTTTACTCACTGTCTATGCAGCAAAACGTTAATCATCAAGATTATTGTGATGAGGTCAGGCTGCTAAAACAATATGTAGTGTATTTACTTCCGTTACAATTTCCCCATTCATGCTAAAATTGAAGTGCTGCAAATCAGGATCAGCATTAGTGGTACATGTGTTCATACTTAAAGTGACGGTAGTGGAGGCCATGAACATGACAGGCAACCCAATTGCAGAGGAAAGAATCCAGTTGCAGACATTGACAATCTTGGCATTGCGTGGCGTCCTGAAGTCCAGTGCTTTGACGGGGTGGCACACAGCGACGTAGCGGTCGATGCTCATGGTGGTGAGTGTGAAGATAGAGGTGAACATGTTGTAGTAGTCGATGGACATCACCATCTTGCACAAGACGTCCCCAAAAGGCCAGGTCCCCATTAGGTAGTTAACACTCTGGAACGGTAGTGTGCTCGTCACCAAGGCGTCAGCCAGAGCAAGGTTGAAGATGTAGATGTTGGTGGCTGTCTTCATTTTGGTGTATCTGCACAGAAGACACATACTGAATATGTAAAAGGTCACACACGTTGCATTCTTATGGGGGGTTTTTTGTATTTATTTGATTCCTTTTTAGCTGTTCTGAGTGTCTTTATAGGTTTCTTGTCTTTTTATTTGCAGTAGAGAACATGACCAAGAACCTCTGATCCACTACTGAGGTTTGACTCTGCAGGACAAACTGGTAACAGTCACTTCTAACAGTGGCTCTAAACCATTAACTGACTCTTTGGGCTCAGCAGGTCTGCTCAGTAATTACAACTTGACATTTTAAACACAAACGGAGAATTTTTCTCATTTTGTGAAATGAAAACTAAAACATATGTGAAATTCCCAAAACTGACAAAGGCCCTTAGGACAAGATTTTTTTTTTCAGTCTTTACTTAGAAAGAGCACTACTTCAACTAGTGTAAGAATAAAGAAAGCATCAGAAGGATACACATAAATAAAATGCTATATTTACAGATGGAACCACACAGGCGTGACCATTTGCTAAATATACCCAGCTTGCATCGTTTCCTTGTCACGCAAGAATACTGTATGATCTAGGCCAAGTATCTTGAAATGATTTCTGAATAATTCAGGCCTCTTTTGTGAGCTACTAGCCCATTTTGTGATAGAAAACATTCAGCTCCATTTATTGAAAAGATTACCAGATATTACAGAATACAAATTAACCACAAAATGTAATCCACAAATATTTAAAGAAATGTGCAATTAAAAAATCCCAGTTTCTTACAGGCAGATAGGAAAAATCATTTCTTGTATGTTCCATATTATATTCATAGAGTGTAGAAATAATGATAACAGAGGGCCGTTAATGAAGGACTCAGTAGAAAGGTCAAGTGAACAATATTGACTAAAAAGACATTGCTGAAATAAACCTTTCCCGTAGGCAGCAGTAGCTTTTCTGTGATCTGAATGAAGAGTGATCGAAGCATTTCAAGGATGGTCCTTGTAATAGTATTTCACACAAATGTCCCTTCAGCCAGTATGGTGGAAAATCGAGCAGAGGGGGGTAGTTCAAAGAGAATGGAAAATGGTGGAGTGTTTATAGAAAACAGAAGAAAGCGTGGATCCATTTCCACAGAATGAAGAGGCCTGAAAACAAGTGACTGAAATGGCTCCACTGTTTACAGCTCTTGTCAGCAAAGACATATTCTGTGTTTATCGCTTCCTACCGTTGCGATGAGCCGAGGTTAAGGCTGGATCCCATCAAAAAGATCTAAAATCACATATCTTTTATCTCATAACCTCAGCACGCAAGACCCAAATGAATTATTAAAAACCCTGTTATATTTGTCATCCTTTCTAGGTGACATCTGGTTTTCATGGTAAAATTATAATGAAATTATATAAAGTTCATGGGTGAAAATACTGTGAAAAATGCAGCTCCAACCTGCAACTTCAGACCATGTTTAAGGCTTTAAAGAGTGAAGCCTGGCATATTTAATCACGCTGCTTTAGTCTCTCATAATGTTAAACATTAGAGGGTTCCCTGGTGATGTCGCTATGCCTGAGAGGTATTACAGAGTTCAATAGAGTGGTATTAGACAGTAAAGAGGCAATTGACTCAAATAATGACGCTATAATGAAGCTGTCTAGGAGTTAGATTTTCTCTGTGAAATACACTTTAGTTCTTGTCACTCCTCAATTTTACTATTCCAGCTTATTATTATTATCTTCATTTAGATAACAGATGATTCAGATGACTCCCAATGGTGGTTTAATCTATTTTTAATTGTTCATTATTATTCTTATTAGATAAACCAGCAGCATTACCGTACAGGCTAGACACAGGGGTAAACAGCTTACCCGTTCATGTAATCTGTTTAACAAGAGAATAAAACTAGAGCTCAACTGATATTGGTGCTGTTTAAAAGAATAGTCTTGTTTTATTGTCACAACAAGATTACAAATCTCCCGACTCTTCTTAGATCAGCTGGTGGTTTTTGCGCCCAGGGAAGCTGCATAGTTTCCTCTGGCGGACAAACTATGGAGCGTAATGTTGGCTGAAGCTATACGTTGCTTCTCCCGCTAATATCGGCCAATATACCAGTCCCCTTGATGTATTGGTCAGGCTTTAAAGGTTACCTTTTTTAACCTAAATTATACCAAAACAAGTAAAAAATGACAACAATAGTTGTGAGTTAGATATGAGGCTTGTGTTTCTTAGGCTCAACAGGTGCATTAGATGCACTGCCAGCTGTATCAGCCAGACAGGAAGGAGAAATCAATCTTTCATGCCTAATTCTCTTGCCATAAAGGGAGCAAGAACATCTCTAAAAAAATGTCTTAATATCCAAAGCACAAGAGGAATTGTGCTGTTCTGACACTATTCCGTGTAAAGACTACTTAGACACATCCCTGCTGGGAGGTTATTAAATTAATAAATGAATACACAAAGTGACAATGATACATTGCACCCACTGGTCTTAGCTGTATTAAATCTCAACTGTCACATTAAGCCAAGGTAATTTGCATCGTTTTTGTTCCAGCACCGTCCTCAGTAATCCCAAATCCTCTTAACAACCAGAGATGACAGTTAGTTCATTAAATTCTGATTAACTGTAACTCAGACAGCTTAGTGTGTTTGTTATTTCAGACTTTATTTGCACTGGGACTGACGAGACACCTTGTGATGCAGTAAAAGCTGTCATAGTAGCTTGATAGAGCTCGAGGTAATGTCAGCATCCTTTTATTGAATTGGAGACTCCTCCAGCTAATAGCGTTCTCTTCCTGAGCGACCTGACCGTTTGCCACAGTCACTTTGAAATAGCCTCCACAAATCCTCACACATTTGAATTTTTCCGTCCACTACTGCCAGAGCTACAGAGCACTTGGCTGCTCTGGAGTAACTTTTAAATTATTGGTAGGACAAGAATGTAAGAGTAAAGTTGAATCTGTGTCCAGGCCGGCAACAGCTACCCAGTGGTCCAATAACAACACTAAATCTTTCCAAGCACCTGCAAAGGCAGTAAATTATTAACACAAAGCTAGAAGCAAAAGACCTGTACAGCCAGAGTGCATGCTGATACACCCAAGGAGCCAGAGCGTGATGTTCAAACACAGAGATGGACGGGCTTGTGAGTTACATATCAATAAAACTGTTCTAGGTTTCTAGAGCAGACAACTTGTCAGATTTATTGTAATATTAAAATACTAAAAGAAAGCATGTATATTCTTATGACAAGGTTAGGGATTTACATTGACATGGGCAGATATAACTTAATGTTTGCATCTCAGACCATGCTCTTTTAAGGGGTTGGAAGCAATATGTTATACATCACTTTTGTTTGAAATTCCAAGACTTTTTTTTTTTTTATTGTACCATCACTTAAGTTTGCGAACAATCTCTGGTCGACTTTAGCTTTGTGCTTTAATTTTTTCCTGCCCTAGGCACAGCATAATGTGGTCACTGTAAGATCCTTCTATGGCAGTAGTGCCCTGAAGTTATTTAGTATAAATCATACTGTCCTTGTGGACAAGTTGTGGTCAGAATGACTGACCTATTGATCTCGGTAGTCTGTCTGCATTTATAAATTAGATGGCGATTATCTACAAACCATCACTCCACCAGGCAACCTGTGTAATTGTCTTGTGGTCAAGAAGTTGATGGTGCTGCATGCTCAGCTTTTGGGAGGACAACGCCCATCAATAAATAAACAAATCAATAAATGCAATCACTGGGCAACCACTGTTTTTTCCTAGTTGAAAAAGGATTACTATTTTTGCTCTAGTGTGACCTAGCCATTAATAGCCTAATAATCAAGTAACAGTATAAATGCATTTCTTGAGCAAATAAAACAATATTAAGTCTTAGTGTTTTCCTGTATCCCTTTTGGAACTTTTTTTAAACAACTTTTTTGAACCTTTTTTTAAAATTAGTTGCTAAAATGAGTAATGGGAACCGTAGGATAATAAGATACACTAGCTAACTTGGTTGCTTTCGTCTTAAAATAAATCGTTGTACCCCACCAAAGGTCACTTTAAGAAGGCCACTGGGCTTATAAACAAGCCTCCTAACTCAACTGATGCCAAGCTGCTGCTGTTTTCTCCTGGCATGACTCTTGTTGACCAGGATTTCCAAATATTCTGGTGTGGCACTTAACGAATAACAAAAGACTCAAGTCTGATTTGCCCATTACTCAATCCCAATGGACAATAACAATTGTGTGGATTTTACTTCAATCCTCCCAAATTTTCATCCCGTTCTCACTCCCGAGGTGTAATATAATAATGATTTGTCAACTCCCGCGGTGTTGCTGAGGAACGCGAAAGGGGACCTTCCACATTCTTATGCTACTCACCGGGTTATGGATGATGCTCCCGCGGTAATACAGCCATGTATTCCAGCCCTAACCCTAACCTTATCCCTAACCCTAACCAGCACTTTAATGATGTTAGATAGTGTTTTCCAAAGTGATTTAATTAAAACAAACGTGCATGTGTAGATTCATTCCAAACGGTTCCTTATGTTTCCTCATTTTTCCGATCTTGTGATCTAGGGACATGTTGGGTGCCTGGAAGCGTAATATATTGACGATTTGTCACATAGCGTAAAATGTTATGCTTTGGGAATGAGAACGTTTCGCAGAACGTGTTCCAAGTTTTCTAAACTTTACCACTATCCTATCAAACTGTCAAGCTTCTCACCTTGAATGAGTGTAGGCCAAATTTGTTTTACCAAATACACAAATAAACATTCAGCTAAATGCTGCTTACATTACCTTGTGTAAAAAAGAAAACATAATCTTGAATACTGTTAGTCACGCTTACATTATAGTGGTTGTATATCAGAAGAAAATGAATTAATCTGTTGTTTCTGTCAGTTTTGCAACCCTTTTTATTAAATTGTCTCACTGCCCCGCAGTAGACTTGCAACCTGTCACAGGTGTACCCAGCCGTTTGCCCTATGACAGCTAGGATAATGGCTCATGTCTCATTAGCAAGGTTATATTATCAAGTGGCATTACACTTCATTAAATA